TCATTGAAAGGTATCATACATTCATCTATTCATAATGTTGACGAAGGTTCGTAGACTTTAGGTATGGAATCATTGAGGTGTGAGAGGATTGGTCCAAGTTGCCCACATGGATTTGTGCTGTTATCGTTTACATGTAAAGTCTCAGTTATTTTTTTGAACCTCTTTGCGATTATTATTCTTGCTACTGATTGAACATTGAGAGTGAGTGAGTGCACCGCTATGATGGCTTCCGATCACGGACATGAACCAAACGTAATTATATACCATCACGGCGGGGAAGACTCCAGAGTACAAGGTTGAATATTATATACTAATAACAGTTTTTACATATTGATAACTGCAAGGCACTAAGCGTTATTCTGGTTATCTTCTTTAAGTTCTGAACATTATAATATTATCCACGGTTGTTTCTGCGTAGGCAGTGCCTTGAGATTTTCTCTATTTTATCAAGGGCTATTCTGTTTTTGAGTGTGTTATTCGTCCACATTGTCCAGGCACAGTCCGCTGGTTTCTTCAAGTGCCAGTTTCTTGTATGTACACAATGGAAGTAATAATGGACGGACCTTCCTCTCCGCATTCGCAGAAAGGAGTATCCCTAAGTCTGAACCTGTTCAGGTATACTGGGAATGGTCCATGACCTGTCAAGAACTGTGTTAGGCTAGCACAGTGGGTCTTTATTCCCATGTTAACTTTTGGCAGTAAGCGAAATGTCCTTCGTCCTACCTCTGCCTCTGTCCATCTACTTTGCCAATTTTGTAGCAGACTTGTCAAAGTTGTTCTCTTAATATGAGACCAAGGAAGTTTAGTTGGTCTTTCTAATATATCCGTGCAGTTGGCTGACTGCTTGGCCAGTAGGTCAGCGGCTTCATTGCCTTGAATCCATGTGTGAGCGGGAACCCATTTTAAAGTGGGACTTTGCGAAATAGGCATTGTCAGAAGCTGTTTCTGAATTCTGTATACCAAAGGACTCCGGCTGTTTTGACTTGCGATAGCCGCCAGACTTGATGCCGAATCACTGAGTATGGAGAATTTCTCTTGTTGACATGTTCGCATATCTAATTGCAGCACTGATAGCTAGAAGCTCTGCTTGGTATACCGAGTTGTTCAATCCTAATTTCCTTTTCCACTCTAATGTTACAACTCCATTTTCTAGTCTACAGAAGGCGCTGCCCGTGCCGTTCTGAGTTTTGGAGCCATCTTTGAAAAGGTTATTACTGTACCTCTGAATTGGTTGGTCGTTTATACTGATACTGTCGGAGAGATTAAAAGCTGCTGGATGAAAGTTTTTGCAGTTGTTTTGATCCTCGTAGTCCAAGTGGTGATAACTATGACCCCAGAGTGTTGAAGTTTGACCCAGCCTGGTAACTCTTACGATAGCTGCCTCCCTTTCTACTATCAAATCTAGGGGAGAAATTCCTGCTAGTTGTTGTAGGGCTAGTGTTGACGTGGTACGGTATGCCCTGCATACTTGAAGTAGCTGCTGTCTCTGAATAGAGAGCAGGGATCTTTTCATATGAGAGGTAAGTTCACCACCCCAGATTGCTGCTCCGTAAGTTATTACTTTTTCTGTAATGGTTCTATGCCAAATTTTTAGTAGCTTAGATGAGATACCCCATTTATGTGAAGTCATGCGTCTCATGTTGTTGCTTAGGATTCTAATTCGAGTCTTAAAATTCCTGACATGTGGCATCCAAGAAAGTCTGTTGTCGAGTAATAGCCCAAGATATTTCAATTGAAGGAAACATTTTACCGGTATCCCGTGGAGTTTAATGTTTGGGTTGCGTCTTAGCTGCCTGCTGCGTCCTATGAGTAAAAGCTTTAGTTTTCTCTGCCGAAATCTGAAGCTTATGTGCTCTGGCCCATTGGGAGAACAGATCAAGACAGTATTGAGATCTCATTTCGAGGTTACTCCTTCCTGCCACAACTAGCATAAAATCGCCCGCATAGGCTATGATTCGAGCGTATTCTACGCTCTCAAACTGACGAAATGCCGAGTTTGCCACTATATTCCACAGTGTTGGTCCAAGGCATGACCCCTGTGGGCACCCTCTAAAGACATTCTTGACATAAATGCCGCTGTCTGATGTTATTTGTACACTTTGATCTTGAAGGTACGAGCGAAGGATGGTAATAATGTTTGTTGGGCAGGCCATGTTGTGCAGCAAATTTATTACGTCTGGCCACCAAAGGGAGTCAAAGGCTCCCTTCATGTCAATGGCTATTACCAGTGAGTAGGGTCTGTGCTCCAGTAGTTTTTCAGCTCGGACAATTGATGTATGCCCATGAGTACATGCATACCTACCCAAGCTTTCAGTTCTTCTGATGTGATTTCTTTCCAGTTCAAGATAATGTCTTTTGTGGTATGACCCAATCTCTTCCTTTTCTTAGGCTGCTTTGCATATGAGTTTCGTCAACAATATTCTGTAAAATTTCCTCGGTAAAAATCACGCCAAAATAATCCTTTTCTTTCTCAGTAGATTTGAATAATATTTTCAAATGTATTTTCAAAAATATTCCAATTTTTCCAACATACCTATACACGATGCAATAGCATTTTCACTTTTCACCCATTATTTATTATTCAATATTAGATAGTTACTGCAGAAATATACAAAATAAGAGGACGTTATTGTAATAAAAACAGTGTTTTAGTTACATTTGTAGCAGAATCGTATAGCAATGCAAATGTCAAATCAAAACAGGTGACTCAGTGGAACAGATCTCACACAACGCGTTCGAACTTTCAAACCAATTGTGGCAGTTCTGTTTTCAATCGATTGAACACAGATGGCAGCACAATACTGAAGTGGGAATTAGAGTTCCCAACATTATAATACCAAAGCCAATATATTATAGTGGGTTTTGCGCTTCCCACAGGTGTATTTCCCAGGATCACGTAGGTGGGAAGTAATCTTCCCACGGCCCACGAAAGGGTTAATTCTTAACCTTACGGTGTGCTCTACCTCCCCTAGAAGTTTGTCGTAACATTTACGGTACACCGTATATACTGAAGACTAAGGAATACAAATATCGTTTTCTTCAACTTTCGATTTTAAATGGTCTTAATCCCAGCACTTTGTGGGCTAATTTTGTATTTGAAGATGCCTCAATCTCGTCCGACTGTTACCAAAGTCTAACTCTATGCACGGATTTGTTCCTCAGTAATGTTTTATACAATCGATACAGGCTTACTTCTACAGAATCGATTTCACATGGCTGCCCAAGATGGAATCGATGGGTTTCAGATAGGATATCTACAGAAAGAGGGAAGACTATCAAGCGCGAGGTATAACTTATTCATTCCTGCATCCGGAAGTGACCTCTCGTTATTTTGAAATCGAACATTTCCTGAACGAAGCGGGGTACCGAAACCATTTTAAAGATTCTTTTTTACTTCCTTGTAAGTATCGTAATCGCAAAAAATTTCTGGTACCATATTTCAACGAAAACATTCATTTCGACAGCTCTTGAATGCATTTGAACGATGCTTTTGCATGACATCCGTACGTACGAGCAGAAAAAAGGACTCCTTTTAAGTAACCCTAGAACGTTTATATTTTGTATATGGGGCTGCTATAATATGAAATTGTGGACCTCCTTTTTCGTTGCAATCGGCTGCTTCATATATAGTAGCCCGGCTCGGTTGGCTCAGTGTTTTTATTTTAATATGGTAAAGCGTGCAGTTTTTGTTTTAAAAAGTGATTGAATTAGTATGTTGTTCTCAAGATCCGGTTCAGAATTCTATGCCTTTAGTTAATCTGCATACAATAGCTGTATAATTATCAACAATTTAAAAGTTTAAGTAGCGCTAGGCCTAACGAGGTCGCCATTAGTTTGCATTTGGCATTTGAAACTCTTAGTAGAACAGTGAGTTAAGTGAGTTGGTGCACCAATTTCAATGTCTTTTGCTCAGTAGGAACGAAAATTAACTTTTAATTTTGTGCACCGAAAATTTAGTCTTCCTGTCCACATTGCTTGCTTTTGTGCAGAAGCTCTAATTTTAATTGTAAAAAGAAATTAACTGTTTTTAACTGTTGGTATTTTAGGTTTTTCTGTATTTTATCATTTTTAATGATGATGTTTTGACTTTTTGTATTTCAGCCTTGCCACGAAGTGAGAGCTTGATTGATTGAATGATATATATATTTCTAATGAAATTCAAGGAAATGCATTTAAACGGAGTGCAGCAAAAAATGTGTTTAATTTAATAGGCAGTCTAGGCCACCCAAAAATGCCGTGTCGTGTTTTTCTCTTAACCTCCTTACTGATTGCGCCCTATAATGTTGCATTTTTTTAGGTTATTGCAAGTGAAATTGCCAATACATGTTTTTTTGTTTGAATGATAATAAGTACACTTCCGTGGTAGCATAGGAGTCTCTAAGATAATGTAATAAACAATGAATTTAATTTCGGGAAATCTGATAAAATATATTTTTCATAGTCATTTCATGTTTGAAGGATAATAAGCACATTTCCGTTGTAGCATAGGCGTCTCTAAGGTAATGTAATAAACAATGGAATTAATTTCGGGAAACCTGATAACGTATATTTGTCATAGTCCTACATTATATACTAACTTATATTAATATACTAACGTATGTTTGTCATAGCCCTAGATTAATCAAAATCTGCGGTATAACTTGCCATCACCGTCTTTACAAAACCTTCAGATCGTCAAATCTAAAGTGCTCTCATTTCATAAGATTCAGAATTCCATAGATCTGCACGCAATCTGGAATATGAACTGGAATTCACAAGTATAAAATTAGTTTCCGCTAACCACCATGCTTATTGGAAAATCAAAACACCGTACGTACTGGGGATACACAGCATAAAGGGTTTGTCAGGCAGAATGGCAACAAAAAACATGATAAAAGTAAAGTAAACATATAAAAGTTTCAAATGATAATTTTTGTTATGGTGAGAAATATTTTTACATAAATATTGCATTTTTATTTTAAACATTTACTCATTCATTTTCGATTTTTTTTAGTACGTACTTTTGTATGTTTGTCCTTTGCTTGAATGCGAATCCATCTAAATGCACTTTCTTCGTCAACTTGTCGCTTCGCTCTCGTTACGTTTTTCTTCTTATGGAGTACTTTCCAACCACACAAGTTGTCAACGAAGTTGCAGTAGTTTTTGACTGGAATTATAACACAATGAAATTTTTACTTGCATGTCGCATATGAAATCAACACGCTTCTGTGCCCAAATTTAGCACATTTATCGGTATTTCGGGTTCATTATCAACAGCCAACACTTAACTTAAGAATTTCATCAATAAATATCATACTAAAACTAAACTAAACAAATGAAAAAAATGTTAGAAAAATTATTAAAAAAAGCACACGACCATTGAATATTATCGCTATGTATTATTTTTAAAGAACTACGTAAGCAAATTAAAAAAAAAATTATTATTTTCTTCGTACTTATGACGTATATAATTCCACAGCAAAAATTTAAAAAATTTAAAACAGCGTAGCAGTGTAAGTTTAAAATTCTCAATGCAGTTTCAAGTGTAGGAATATACTTTTCTGTTTTTTTTTTAGTCCTTTATCCGTTCATCATATTAATGTTCAATTTTTCTTACTAAGATGGCTTTACAAAAGTTTTCCATTTGTCTCTTTATTATTACCATTTTGTGTGTTTACTTTATTTATTCAATATCATTTTCTTGGTGCTACGCCAGATAAAATTCGATTCAACAGTAAAATAGCAAAATATCTAAAAACAGCACATCTTTAGAATTTCCGATAGACAGTCTCCCGCGCTGGAGATAAAAATGTTTTATTCTGTACAGTGTTGCCACTGCTGGCTTTGAAATCGTTGAGATTGTTAATCAAAAATTTATTTAAGCTTTACAATATTTTAAATAGATAATAAAACAAATCCGAAATTCAAAATTCGGTCTACCAGGTGCCCATGTTCGGATAGAGGACTATGTTATTCAAAATTTGATGGCTCTAGGTACCGTTGTTGTTTCCCAATGTGAGAAACATGCATACATTCCAGCAGATTCTTCCTTATTTAATTTCTTTAAATATAATACAGGGTGATAATACTTGGTGGCCAAAATGGGAAAAGTGATACGCCGTTTATAGTGATACCGCTGTAGGTACCGCTGTTGTTTCCCAATGCGAGAAACATGCATACATTCCAGCAGATTCTTCCTTATTTAATTTCTTTAAATATAATACAGGGTGATAATACTTGGTGGCCAAAATGGGAAAAGTGATACGCCGTTTATAGTGATACCGCTGTAGGTACCGCTGTTGTTTCCCAATGCGAGAAACATGCATACATTCCAGCAGATTCTTCCTTATTTAATTTCTTTAAATATAATACAGGGTGATAATACTTGGTGGCCAAAATGGGAAAAGTGATACGCCGTTTATAGTGATTCAACGCAAAATGCCGTTTCGACACTACTATCATCCCTTTCTGGACCAATATCGGCCCACCAGCGGCCGAGCGGTAAAGGCGCTGAACACTGGTAGTTCGGTCTGAGGTTCGAATCCCGCGAACGGGCTGGCTGCATGGGCGTTTTCGTGGTTTTCCCCATGTGTAACGTGTATACGAGCCAGTTTCCCTTAGAAAGTCCTCCACGAAAGGCATCCCTCCCTTTAGGCAGATAGCCCTCGTGTGCTTTGCCATAATTAAATACACCAACACCTGGACCAATATCCTTTAAGGCTAATAATTTCAAAGTTCTTTATTTCCTTTTTTTTTTTAAATTCCTTTACGTTATTATTGGCAAATGTTAAGTAACCAACATTAATATTTTAAATCGGAATGCTGCTTTTGTAAAACTGAATAATGCATAGCATATTGGCCCGAGTATACGATGGCTGACATAGAACTAAATCTTGCATTTCTGAGTGTTTTGCAAGTAAAAAAGTATTCTTTTAAAATTGTTTTCCTTTTTGCCAGCCTCATTTGTTGAAGATGATCTATTAGAAATACACTTTAAGATTCCACTATCATACTCTGATGTAAAACTCGATAAGCTTGTTTTTAGGGCTTTAGCCCAGAACGAATATTAATTTCGTTTTGCGTTGGTTCATTATAAATGTCGGTTAACTTTTCAAATTGTTGCCACCAAATATTAGAGCCCTGAGTTACATTTAAAAGAAATTAAATAATGAAGAATCTGCATAAATATATGTATATTTCTCGCACTGTGATAAAACGACGATACCTAGAGCCATCGAATTTTGGATAATGTAGTCTTCCACTGAATATTGGCATCTGAAAGCCCGAATTTAGAATTTGAAATTTGTTTTATTATCGGTTTCATATTTTGTAACACTTTAACAAATTTTTGATTAAAAAACTCAACAATTTCAAAGCGAGCAATGGCAACACTGTACGAAAAAAAGTCTTTTTTATCTCCAACGCGCGAGACTGTGTAATGGAAATTCTAAAGATATGCTCATGCGATATTCCTGTTAAATTGAATTTTATGGTTTAAGTGGGAAGAACATTGTATTTAATAAATACAGGTAGCAGACAAAACGTTAAATAAACGCCCCTTTTGGTAGAATGTAAAATCTGAAAGCTTTCAGATTTTATTTTTATTTCCATTTTTTGTTAATTTTAAAATCAAGGAAAAATAGACAGACGTACTAAATGTTAAGACTCGTTTTATAAGGTTAAATTTTCTAAAATCATTGCACCAATGAATTACACCATACACACCATTTACATCAGTACATTAAGTGAAAAAATCGTCTGCCTCGTTGAGTAAGTTACAGCAGTGATCGGTGGCAATAGTTCCAACTTATCCTCGTAAATCCAGCACGGGCGGTCAGCATGAGCGCGACATTCTTTCTCGCGTGATGTAAAACACTTGCGAATTTCGGACTGTGCTTCAAACGAGATTGTAAATTGTGAAATTATGTTTAAGCTGTTGGAATAATTTGTTAAATGAAATATTGTTGCGTTTATAAAAACTTTATTATTTAAATATTCGCTTTCATTTTTTTCCCAGATGATATGGAATTAGAGGTCATGATGAATATCACCATCCTAAACTATTATATGCATTTGAATGGAAGCAGCTTCAAATCGGAAAGGGTTCTGCTTTGAATACGTACCACAACCAGCTTCATCACTTTTATCTTGACAATCTTCACGGAAATCGCATCTTTTGACTGCAGGGATGCATACTTTATCTTCCACACAGAAGAATTCATCAGCTTTACAACCAGTAGGCATAGGCGTGGTTGTTGAACCAAGGCCTGTTACTGTGACAGGAGGAAGCGTCACTCCCTTTAAGTGCCTTTAAAACAGAATAAACATTCTTAATTTTTGTTTTAAGAAGAAAGTATCGACACGTAAAACATTTGAGAAGGCTCTAGCTATGTGGTCGAACAAAAAGTGTCTGTCGCCATTTATTGACCCAAAAGTGAGATAAAAGCAACTAAAAATAGCATATGCTATGAGCTATACAGTTGCTTACGTCGCAGAACAAACATTACTGCATTAACTAGCAATGAATTTGTATTGTACCTCTGCACTTACCCAAGTATCCTTATTATGCAGATTAGGAATTTTTGTTATAAAATGATAAAGAATTCATATGTAGGTACATATGTATGTTTCCTACATTGTGAAAAAAGGCAGCACTTAAAGCTTACATGTTTTGGCCGCACATACACTGACTACCAATAAGTATTTGGACACCTATGCAAATGACGATATCTGCGGTCCTAAGGCACGTCACGGACTCCGCCGGTATATCTCGTGTAGGAAACAACATCGGCTTTAGTCGCATGCAAGATGCCTCGCAGTTCAGAGCTCTCTGATTTCGAGAAAGGTATAATTATCGGGTATCATAAATGTGGCCGATCCTTAAGGGACATATTTAGCGATCTGAAGTACCCAAAATCCACAGTGGCCTATGTGATTAAGAAGTGGAAGGTGAGCGGTGATTGTCGGAATGTGCCCCGAGTCGGCAGACCAACGAAACTGGGAGATAGAGACCAACGAGTGCTGGCCAGAGAAATTCGGAAGAACCGCACCCAAACGATGGCCCTCATCCGCGAGGAGTTTCAACAGACATCCCGGAGTATTGTTTCAGTGAATACCATCCGTAAGAAAGCACATCTGCTTGGTTTTCATGGTCGTGCTGCTGCCCATAAGCCTTTGATCACAAAGTCCAACCGCGCTGCTCGGTTAATGTGGTGCAAAGCACATCGAAATTGGACCGTAGATCAGTGGAAGCGGGTTCTTTGGAGTGACGAATCAAGGTTCACCCTTTACCGTTCGGATGGCAGGGTCTGGGTCTGGCGTCTACCTGGAGAACGTCTCTTGCCAGAATGCATTGTGCCAACAGTCAAGGTCGGCGGAGGTGGAATTATGGTCTGGGGGTGTTTCTCCTGGTATGGGCTGGGACCCTTGGTCCCCATTCATGGTAAGTTCAACTCCGATGCCTACTGCACTATTTTGGATGACAATGTGCTTCCTACGTTGTGGCAGTTTTACGGGTTGGACCCCTGTTACTTTCAGGACGACAATGATAGTTGTCATATTTCGACGTTAACCAAGGCTTGGTATGGTGCCAGTGAAGTTCATCGAATGGACTGGCCTGCCCAGAGTCCAGACCTGAACCCTATCGAGAACCTCTGGGACAAGTTGCATCGCCGAATTCAGGGGTGCACTACCCGTGCAAAATCGGTGAAGGAACTTCTATGTCTTCTCCAAGCCGAGTGGAAGAAAATACCACTAGCTGTCATACAAAGACTTGTGGAAAGTATGCCCCGGAGGGTCCACGCTGTAATTACCTCTCGTGGAGGCTCTACCAACTATTGATTTTGAATAAAGTTAGTTTTACTTTTCTATCACAGGTGTCCAAATACTTATTGGTAGTCAGTGTAGTCCTCCAATACTCCCCCCTCCAAACACGTGAACTTACGAAATTCGAATTTTGAATTTCGAAATTTAGTCCATTGATAATTATTTATTATCATTTTTTAATTTTAGTGCTGATACTTTGAATAGAAGGAGTTCCACTCTGAGAGAGATATTTAGAAATATGGTCATCTCTAAAAAAAAAAGGATAGTGCTATATCTCCCGTTCTACTGGGCCGATTGACAAAATTCAAACTGCGTTTTTCATGTCTCGAAAGCGCGACTTTAGGATATATATTAGATTTATATATAGCACTATTCTAACATAGGTATTGTGACACAAAATCGGACTTTTTCTGGAATAACTTACCAAGTTTTTTACATATTTCGATTCTAAGACTCAAATTATGCCAGACTGCCAAGTTTTGTAAAAATCCTATGAGTAGTTTTTAAAAAATTAGTTCTCAAAGTGTTAGCTCCTCAATGTTAATTGAATTTAGCACATATTTCGTAATATATCTTTTTTTATTAAACATTTTTGATTTTTCCTTTCACATTTCGAAATTTAAGTTCATTCCGAATACAATTCAGCCATTTTTTGTGTTTTATTTATAAAATTTGTATTTTTAAATAATTTTTATAAGTTTTTCGAAAAAATTTTGAATTATAACCTATAAAAGTTTTACCATCACCTTAAAGTAGACATATTTCTAAGCATACCTGCAGAAAATTAGAGTTTTTTATTCAAAATGTTCTAAGATATACACGAATTTACATTTTTCGCGTTTTGAAATTTGGCATCTTTTTTTTCGAGCGATAATAATGCCAAATGTGGTTAATGGATTTTGTTACAGTAAATTGCCACAGCTATTTTTACCCTTAGATTTCAAATAAATTTTTAGAGAGAATTAATTATACGAAAATTTTTCCTTCAATGATGCATAATGAATATTTATTATGAATATTAGAAAAGCTATTTTTTTAAATTATAGATGATATTATTCAAATTTTTAACTTTAAAAAAAAATTCTTTCTTTTTTCCCTTTTTTTAATATTTGTAAGAGTAAATTTTTATCTTAGGCGTGTTATCATCTGCTACTTTAACTTCGTTTAAATCGAATTGTCTAAAACTGAGAACTTTCGTTTGATGTTTATTTGAATTTTATGAAAATATTTTGTGACATTAACTGCATAATTTATTTCTAAACAAGCTGTTGATTATGAAGTTGTTGAAAGAGCGGCTGATACTATCATCCATATTTTCAAATCACAGTATATTGTAGGTGTATTCAAGACTCTTTAACACCAGATTTCTGAATAAGTATGTATTACAACAATGAGAAATAGTACTTGGCACGGGCTGTACTGACCTATGTTTGCTATATAAGGTATTGTAGATCAAACGCATGCCCAAATATTATTTAAGAAGTAGGTAAACTATAACATACAGAACTGGAAAGTTATTCAACCAGATTCCTGTAATGATTAGTAAGTTAGAAAATAGAGTCAAGATATACCTGCCAAAACTTGAAACGAAATCGTTTATTTTTAGAAAGCCAAATGAATTCAGTTACGGATATATTTATTTTTAATTTCAGTTTCATATTTTGCCTGTTATGTTGTGAAGAAAGGAATAATTACTTCTCCTTCCGCAGACATAATTTCCGTAAATCAATATGTAGAAATGAAAGATTTTATTGTAATTGCAACATAACATCATTTAATTTTATGTTAATAGCTTTTTTTTTTGTTAGCCTCGTTTCCATTTCCCTGTCGGAATGCAAATTTCTAGCTCTCGCGATATTCATATTAGGTAAAAAGGAAGGGGTATTTAAAGAAAGGTTTTGGAGGGTAAAATCAGAGCATGTTGTACCTGTTTGAAGGCCACGTTGCTGACTTGATTCTCTACCAATCCGTATTCTGCGGCGTTGAGTTATTCTTACTATTAGGCTTGTTTACGCTGACTTCTGTCAGAGCCAGATTGCGCACTAGTTAAACTGTGAAGCTGTTAGGCAAAACTCAACTTCATTAGTTTAGTTTATCCATTACCTTTGATATTAAAGCCAAAAGTGTTGACTTCTGTAAGAAAGAGTTGATCCCTCTATTAAACTTTATTTGGATTAATAAAATTGTTCTTTACGCCGATTCTTGTCTCCGTGGTACTTACAAGACAGAGAGATAACTTCCTAATTGTTCTTTAAAGGTCTGATATAATTTGTTGCTACCTAAGAAGGCCAGATATCTTTTTAACAGTTCTTAGAGCTTTTTAAAGCCTTCAAATTTATTTTACAGTTGGTACCAATTGCAAAACCATAAACTTGAACGTATTTATTCAATTTTAGTTTTCTTTATTCATAAAACTGTTCAACAGTAACTGTTGCTCTTAATAAAAGAAAAAAAAATGTACTAATTTACTTCAGCTTCATCAGACATAACTTGTATCATTTTTGTTTCTCTTTCTGTTCTAAAATAGTTGAACTTAGGAACTCATTTTTTCAAAGACTTACATTTTAATGGCACAGAAATTGAGTTGTTTTATCTAGGAACTTAATTTTGAAACAGAAATTTCCCTGCATTTAGATTTTTAAATGAAAGTTTTAGAAGCACACACACACATATATATGTATATAGACACTCATATATAGGTAATTAATAATAAATAATTAAATTAATTACTTACTTGCATCCTGGGGTGAAAGATATATCATCAATTGCAATCAAATCAGGAGTAGTGAAACCAGCTTTTCCTTCAAAGATGACCTTGAATAGAGTAGTTTCGTTAAAGATTACTGATCCTCTCATCCAGAAGTTTCCAACTTTGCCAGTTTGAGTCCATTTTCGATGTAACTGTCCTTTTGTTTCCGTAATGGTAAATACATTGAGTTGGTTTACTTTGTCTCCAAACATGAAGTAATAGAATCTCATCTGGCATTCTCCCTTCGCAATGCTCTGCAGAACGTCAGAAATTATCCAAGCTTTCTCATTCATTGCGCCCTCAGTACCCTTCGTCATGCTGAGATAGTGACCTTCAGGACTGGAGAGACTGTGGTCAAAAGGTGGTCCAACCCTCGCATTCACATGATCAGGAGCTGAGCCTGTATTAAGAGTCCAAGAAAGAGGTGCATAGGGCTCATTCATGACTTGGCTGAATATACCAAACCCATTCTCGAAGTCTGTAACAAGGTAGTTTTGACCAGCACAATCTTCTTCATCAGTGAAGTCACCACAATCGTCAGTAGCATCACAAATGCGGGAATAATCTACGCAGGCCTTTGTTTGTTTGCATCGAAAACCGTAGCAGTTATTCTCTTCTCTCTTGGGAAGAGCACAGTTCACGAATTCTAGGTCGTCAACTGCTAGGTAGTCCCAACGACCCATACCCGATTTTTTGTTAATGCTGATGGAGAAGTTGCTTGTTTGCCGTCCGAGACCAATTTCTTCACGTTTCCATGTTTTTGATGCTGTAATTAAAGCCATATCTATTGTATTGTTTGCGGTGTTTAGAGTAATGAAAGGCTTCATGAATATTCTACTACAAGCGTACCATAAGGAAAATTTGCAAGTTGAAGCAGATGACGAAAACGATGGACTTTTGTATTCGTCTACGGGGCCAGTTTCTGTTTCTAAACTCGTATGTATAATTAAGTATGATCCTTGACTGCTGTTAGTTGTCTTATCTACTTCAGGAGCGTCTGGTGAGATATCTTTGGCAGATTCCGCGATTGTGACATTGACTTCTACACCATCACCAGCTCTTGTAATAGCAGTCCATCCACAAGTTGACCCTAATTCGAAGTCACAAAAAGCAGGGCAAAGTTTTTCATCTTCTCCATATGGACAATCTATTTTAAAGTCGCAGACTACGTCAAAAGGGACGCAAGAATTATCATCGCAAGTAAACTCTCCTAGTTTCTTACAGATTTCTCGAGGTTGGACTGTCGGTATAGGTGTTGTTATTTTTGTATACATAGGAATGCATTCAAGTGAAAAGGATATATCATCTATTGCTACTTCACCTTTTAAGACCACTACTAGGAGAACCTTCTATGACTACGTGAAAGTTAAATTTGCTTTTCAGTGGCACTTCAACCCTTTCCCATTCATCTCCAGATGTACCATACATTTTATTAACCTGTCTGAGACGGGTATCATCTGCTAGTTGTAGATAGACTGTGATACTGCTCGTGTATGGTTTGTAGAGATGTTTCCAAAATCTTAAACGGCAATTTCCTGAGGTGTCAGCCATAAAAGCGGTGCTTGTTATTCGGGCACTATAATAGTAATAATAGGAAGTTCCCCTACTCGCCATTAGGAAATGTCCTGTTTCGTCACCAATGGTATGATCTCTATCAGGACCAGTGCCTTCGGCAAGTTTTGTTCCTGATGTCAATACCCCATTTTTGGGTAGCCTTTTCATCTTGAGTCCAGCCGCACATATTACCTTTTTCAAAATCACATCGTTCTAGATAATCAGAACAATTAGTTTCATCAGAACCATCGGGACAGTCTAAGCTGAAATCGCACACCAATGTTTTGTTGACACACTCTCCACTTAAACAAGCAAATTCTTCTTTATTAGCGCATTTTCTTTTTTCTGGAGGTGCGCATGTCATAAATTCGATTTCATCTAATGCAATATCTCCTTCGCTCAAAACATGAGTTGCTATGAAATCCAAGTGCCATCCTGCTTCTCTTCGTCCTATGCTAACCGTAGCATTCTGCCAATTCCGACCTTGATCAGAAATTTCTCTCCATAACATGATATCTAGCTTTTTGTTTGTTTTCAGCTGCAACTTCAAGGAAGCATCATTGTTTCTGATACCAGACATATAGTAGAAGAACTTAATTTCACAAGCAGCTGAAGCTTGATGAAAATCAACGGATCTAAGCATTGCCTGACTACTGATTGCTCCTGTTCTCTCTTTTGCGACGTACATGTAATATCCAGATCCACTAACATCATAAATGAGTCCGTTTGTACCTTGTACACCTGTTGTTCTTATCCATTTTCCTGCTCTTGCGTCATACCAGCCGCAGGTAGGATTGCTGTCATCATCGAAAGTACAGGTTCCACATTTAGATTCATCTGACGAATCAGAACAGTCGGGTACAAAATCACATATTTTCTCAATGTTTATGCAGATCTGATCAGAAATACAGAAGAACTCATCCTCGTTGCAACTTTCGACTGGTGTTGGTGTAGGTTCGACGCGAATAATGGGTAGTGTTTTTTCGGATTCAGCGCAGCCTGTTGTGAAAGATATATCGTCAACAGCCCATCCACCTAACCACGATTTGGTGCCTATTTTGCTCTCAATAACAATTTCGAATGGATCTCTAATATCTTTCAGAGATATAATAGCTTTTTCGTAATACTGCCCTGGTGGCTCTCGAACAACAAACACAGGTTCCCAAGGCCTCACTAAGTCTGTCTTAACATAAACTGTCAAACTACCGATATCTTTTATTTGGTCGTATTTAGTGGAATTAAAATGTGTACCGTATGTATAAAAAAATCTTAATTTGCAAGTATCGTCTTTGGTTTCCATAACAAGTGAAGACAAATGGGCTGTGTTACCTTTGGCACGATATTCATTGCTGAAATATAAGAATTTTCCATTTTTGGAATTCTTCGTGTGGTCCCTAAGAACGAAAATCTTGTTAAAAGTACCATCATAATTCGATTTTGTAATCTGCCAGGCATAATCACTTTCTGAAGTTCTTTTCCAACTACAATAATTATTATCATCAAAATCACAACGCCCAGGATACAGATCGCAGTTAGCTTTGAGCCTGTTTTCATCACTGAAATCTCCACAGTCATCGACAAAATCGCATACAAGGTTGTTGGATATGCAGTTTCCATTATCACACTGGAATTCACCATCTCCGCATTTCTGAGGTTCATCTAGTTTTCTTGGTAAGTAACAATTTTCGAAATCTACATCATCAATAGCAAAAACACTAGTCTTGGACCTTTTATATCCGTTGATTACAACACGGAATCGTTTTCGTATCCTACCCAAAACCACTTCTGCTCGCATCCAGGTTCTTTCCTTGACTCCTTCTAAACGAAATAATCTGGTTCGGGTGCTTTCTTCACCAGAATCGTACAACACAGTCAATGCTTCGTTATCAAGGACTACGTTGATGTAGTACCAGAAGAACATTCTGCAGTATGGTGAAGACTCAATCAAAGCCGGGCTGAGTAGGTCTGCTTGAGTATGATAGAATATGTAGTTGCCATGGTTTTTAATTTTCATATAATGACCTTCGCCTGGATTATTTCTAGTGTGGTCTCGATCGGGTTCTTCTGTGCCCTTAGCGAGAGTCTGATTCCAAGAAAGACCTTTGGTGGTAGTTTTCCAGTTACATGGATTTGCCACTTTGTCTTCAAAATCACAGTGAGTTCCACATTCTTTTTCATCTGTTCCGTCTTTACAGTCAACGTAAAAATCGCAGCGCAATTCGTCAGATATATGCGTCTTGCCTCCGTCGCAAGTAAAGTCAGGCGGTCTATCTTCGATGGGAGTGCATTCACCCTCAGTCACAGAAATGTCATCAATGGCAATGAAGTGATTAGATCTGCAAAATAAAAACTCTTATGTAAGCATACGTCAACTAAAATATTCAGTAAAAATATTTCAAATATAATAATATGATCCATAAGATTCTAAAAGTGTGTTTTATTTGCGATATAAGTGCATTTTAGGGATCAGAAAATAGTCGTGTGGTTCGGTTATAATAGCATGGTCAGTTTCAGTGATCAAAACTGTGATCATTCTTTTTTCCGTGTTGTTTGCTTTGAAATACGAAAATATTTAGATCATTCAGAGTAAAATAGTAGTTGTTTCGAGTAACGGATTTTCATATAAAACAATAATGAGCAATTTTTGTTACAAACAATAATAGAATATGTATGCTAAATCACAAAGAAAAATCATAGAAATGTTATTTTTAATGCGTTTCTTTTACGAGGCAATATTCTAAACCACTAAATATATGATAAAATATATAAAATTTCAAAATAAGTTTTCAAAATTGTTTTTGTAAAAGAGAGATTTCAAATGATTTCAATGTTCTCCCCCCCAATGAAGTGGCATTCAAGTTGATTGGATTCCTCATTTGTTATGGTCTTTTTCTTTAAATTTAATTACAATTTTTTTGAATTGGGTATTGCTTGTAAGTTTTTGCTTTAACATTTACATTTATTAAGTTTTTTGTTGCATTTATAAGATTATTTGAAATTTATTAATTATGAATTTCAAAATTTTCACAATTTTTGTCTTTGTAAAACATTAATTCTAAATTTCTTACTTTATGTCTTTAATGATATAAAATATATAAATACATACTTAAAAATTTCCGAATATTTCAACTTCATTTAAAAGTTCCGGAATATGTTCTCACCTGTTCATTTAAGAGTTCAGTTTTAGTAATAAGGGAATTCATTTTATTATGCGAATAAATTTTTATACTGTATAATATAAATACAACTTTAAATTGACTTCAGTGTTGTATTAATATTCTGTTATAATCTGATCTTGCTAAGGAAAGGAACAGCTTGGAATAGTTATATTACAGCTTGGTGCAAATCTTCTCTAAAGCTTCGTTCATACGCTGGTTTTAAAATCAAAAGTGGTCTAAGCTGAACTTCGTTGCTAGGTAACTAGACTTTGTTACTTCAGTATGACTGGTTTAAGGATCTTGCCCAAATATTCAAATTTTTGACCTTTATGCCACTTTGTATAAGAGCAAACCAATCACAGCGTAGCAACTATCAGTCGATGGTTTTGCTGAGTCAGCTACACATTTGCGCATGCGCAACTTTCCCTTCCCTGACTGGCTATGGCCTAAACTGCTAATGAACTTAATGACCTTTCATGCCTTAAACTACAAAGCTTTATGACGAGAAATCGTCGTCTGAACGAAGCTTAACACTTCGTGAAATACGTATCTTATGCATTTCACCGCATTTTAAAAATGAATTTGAAGAAACGTTAATGGATAATGCATCGATTTAAAGATAATTTTATGGAGATTACAAAATATTTTTCATTATTGAAATTATCATGTATCAGAAAATGAGACGAATCTAAAAAGTTAACATAAATATTCTTTTATAATTTTAATAAACTAAAAATGATTACAAGCTATTATTTAGTTCACTCATGATGTTCCACTATGAATGGAATTTTATCATCGAGTTTTAGCTTACTTCCAGAGAAGCATTCGGATTCAAATTTTGTAAACTTCCTGCTTGCATAATGGCAAACCGCACATCGAGTTGATCAATGTTAAACGAATTTCGTTTACTGCGCATGCCCAGAATAGAATTTGGCGAAATTTTAAAAGCAGATAAATACCAAAATATTGAGGATTTTAAAACTCGTTAGGCTGTAAGTTGCTTCATTACTTAGAGTGTAAATATCTATTGTAAACTACGCAAATTTTTGTTTAAGAAGGATTACAAAGCAGCAAACATTACAAGATATATTAGCTGAATGCTTACTGATTATACGTCTCAGGAAATAAAAGCAATTGAATATTTATCTTACGTTCCATTAGTATATACTTTAACTAATTAGAAATAAATCCAGTTTAAATTACTGAATTAAAGTCAAATAACTGATATTAAATGTAATGTTTATGAACAAAATAAACCAAAAGGAATCCACAAATTACACCAATAACCACACCAATTTCCCGTAGTAATTGCTTGTAAACAAAAACCAACATACGAACAGGCTTGTGTGGTTGCTTCTGCTTAGTCGCCAGTATTTTCTCCCGTGCCAACGGTACACCATTGAGCATGCGCAGTAAGCGAAATTCGTTAACATTGATCAACTCAATGTGCGGTTTGCCATTCTGCTTGTCAATGACAATGCTGTGTGGCACACAGACCTTTCGAAATTTGATTTAATTTATTTTTTAAATTTTGAATTTCAAAAGAAAATAATAAGGTAAAAATTGCAAAATAGCAAACATTTTGCATTAATCAATGAACTCTGAGAGTGTTTCAAATTATGCAGATTATTAAGATCTAATCAGAAAAACCTTTGTTTTTAATTACTAATGTGCATTGCTTGGGCCTACTACTAACAATGTTATCAATCATCATTCATTGGAATTTTCATATAAACTTCATTTAAAAGACCTTTATTTTCTATCCTTTATCCGATAGTGCAAATAATAAAATTCTGAGAAATTTAATTTCTTCATTAAAAGCAGGTATGGGAGAAAATTATTTCAGCATTAAGTTTAAAAAAAATCTGAATGAAACTTTGAAAAAAATCACAACACATTTATGCGTTTTTATGTTACAACTTTTATTCGGACAACGTGATATTAGGTCAAAAATTTGAAATTCATGATGGTTGCGAATTTTCTAGTTATTGCTAAATGAATGGGAAAGATACTTACTTTGCGGTCATATCTGCTTCGAATATGATTTGGTATTTCCCATCATTCTCATTTCTCTTTATCTGCAGCTGTTCGTTATTCCATCGACCGAGGTTCTCTTGACTGAAGAGCTGCACGATGGTCTCTTCGAACGTGTCATCATCATACAAAAAGATCTTTAATTCCCCATCGAAATCGATTCCATTTCGGAAATTCCAATAATTGATGCAGCGAGTGGAGTGGAAGAAAGGGGACAATAGGCGCGCCGGTGAAGGATTTGATTTCCATTGATTGATAAGATGCACGTACAAGTACACACCGAACTGGGTGCCTAAAGTAGTATCATTTTCAGGAGCAGAATCTGTAATTTGTCCTGATCCTCGAAGCCACTGAAGATCAGACTGAGGATTGTTTGTCCACAGACACATTCCGTCTTCGAAATTGCAAGAACCCAGAGGTGGACAGTCTGATCTCACATCAATGTCGTCGATAGCTATTTTGCCATTCTTGAAAGCCGATCCGGCAGTTACCTGACATGGAGTAAAAGAAAAGAATTTAGTTAGGTATTTTAAGAATGTTTTTAATAATTTAATTAGTTATTTGTTAGTAATTTAGAACCACGGACGAATAATGTGACATTCTTTAATTAACAATACGGTAAACGAAAAGAAACAAAGAGAAAAATGGCAGTTATTTCAGTGAAAAAATATTACATCGTCATATTATATAATTAAAGATTTTTTTAGAAAGTTAATTAGTAATTTAGAATCACTGACGAATACTATGGCATTCTTTAATTAACTAAATGGTAAACGAAAAGAAACAAAAGGAAAATTGGGAGTTATTTCAGTGAAAAAAATATTACATCGTCATATTATGTAATTAAAGAATTTTTTGTAAGCATTTAATTAGTTTTTATTAGTAATTTACAACCACTGACGACAACTGTGACATCCTTAATTAACAAGATGGTAAACGAAAAGAAACAAGGGGAAAATCGGTAATTATTTCAAAGAAAAAAATGTTACATCGTCATATATCCTGTTATTTCCCTGAATTTATCACTGCCTTGCGTCACACATTGTTTTCTTATTATATTACAGACGAAACATGTGGTACATATAAACAGAACCAAATTATTAGAAATAAAATTAAAAGACAAAATAAATTTAGTAGTTTGATAAAATTTATTTTATGAATAGGAATATCATTTTAATCTAAATGATTTATTTGAATATGTACATTTTCTTATTATAGCTTTTAAATTAGTAAGGGCAACATGTTATTGTAGAATCGGTATTTACTGTCTAGGAATATGATGTTTGTAAACTTACTTCCGATGTGGCTGTCTAGGGGCTAATAAACTAGTCCGATTTATGTTAAAACTTGAATATTTAATGAAACATGAATAGTTGCTACAAACTACAAGGTAATTACATACGTAGAAGGAAACAGATGAGATTATTTACAGATGAAGAGAAGGAATTGTATTTTATAAGCAAACATCTTTGAATCGCGTCATCGTCTTAATGGCGGAATCGTCTGCCTTCTATCATCGGAAAAGTCAAAGATTTATTCTCACAGCTTGTCGCGTCATCTGATTATAATGAACGATGCCATCCCACATTATTGATAATCATACTTATAGCACTTGGAAAGCATAACTATAATTTTTTTAGATAAACTATTTGTCATTATTTTGAAGCTTAATTTTCTTACATTCTACACGTTTTTATGTAATTTAATTGTACTAGAAATTACGATGTAGTGTGTATCATGTAATTTTCTTTTCTTATGTTATAATATTAATGAATTTTTATTTCAATTTTATCTATTATTTTTTACTAATTATTTACGCCTAATTTCGCTTATACATCAAGAATGTAAATTGTAAAGCAAACTTATAAAATAGAACATGTGATACAAAAGTGAAATTAAACCCTTAAAGAAAATTGGTGAAAACGTGCTTAACACTGTTTAAAATTTTAATATTTGTGCTGTGAAATGCTCTTTGAAAGTATCTGCCCAGCCGCAAAGAAATCTAAAAATATTTTTGCGTTACCATGGAGCTGCCGCTTGGTTGAGGTCTTACAGCCAAGCGGCAGAGTCAGGAAATATTAGTAGTTCGACCCGAGTTTCAGATCCTAGAGATACCTCAGCTCTTTCTTTTCTTATACATATTTAATATGGAAAAATGCGTTGCGAAAACTTCAGTTTATGAAGTAAAAATATTTTTAAAGTTTATTCTTTAAAAATACTGCAAAGTTTTATTAATTTTTAACTTTCATCTTTACCTTAGCGTATCTTTTTGCAAATCTCTGTAATAGGAAAATAATAAGCAAAGAAGTTAACTTGGTTTCTGTGATTGAGACTTTATGTAAATTTTTCCGAAAGCACAGACTTTATACAGATATCAGTAATGTATGAATTATTTCTCCAGCTAATTTACTTAATATGTTTATTCTGGAATCAAAACACCGTTCCACTGGAGGCGAATTTTAGAAAATTGAAGCGAAAGGCTATAGGGCAAGTTAAATTTCTAAGAAATTGCGAACCAGCTGCAAAGTAATGATCCAAGATCCATCTTATTTAGCTGTTTGTTGCTTTTACTCTTCTTGCTGCCTTCCGCTTTTGCCGCCTTTTCCGCGGTTGGATTTCTTCGCGCAGCTACATGAGTAAGTGCTATTGTAGCATTATCACTGGACGCACGTTTAATTGCAGATGTTGCGATGATGGCTGTGGTTATTCAAATGCCTGCTACAGCCCCTGTTTTTTCTTCTGAAGTATACTACCTGAAGTATACTACTTGAGGGTTTGGCTTTTCGTCTGCTCTTTCGTCGTACTGGAGATGATGTTGGATACCATTACGAAGGTTGTAGAAGCTACATTCGGAGCAGAGAACACCGTTTTTTCAGTGTCAGGAATATGAAGACGGATTCTACAAAACAGTCTGATTTTTTTAAAGGAGAAAAAAAAAAGCTCTCAGCACAGATATAGCGGCTGAGTGGTGGTATAACGAATTTAATATTTTCTTGTCCCACCATCAAGTGTTCTGTACCAGTAACTGGTACAAAATGCCAAGCAGACATTTTCAATGAAAACAGAAATTTCCAACTCTACACACTGATTTGTATTTCTCAGCGCCACCTTCAGTTATCAAGGAGATTATACATAAGTGAATTGTAAGTGAACCGTAAATAAGTGAATAACACAAGTGACTACTATGAATGTGAGAAGCAACTATTACACAGGACTCTGCAAATATGTGAAAAACACATATGATATACATTAATATACCCAGTTGATATTGTTCAGTATAAATGCATCAGAATAACTTCTTATATCCAAGTTACCACTGACTTCTAGAGTAAACATTCTCTGCAAACTCAGAATTACATTGCGTAAAACATAGCTAAAATCCTCATTCAGCAAAGTCTTGACAGGGTCTCTTTAATAACTACAGGTCACAAATACCTATCTTTCGAAAGTAACTTGATAAATTCCGCTACAAATTTTAATATTCTGCAAAGACTTTTAGCTAGGCCTACTGAGAATAGAATGCTCCACCAACTGAATACAAATGCTGATAGTCATAGAACAGCCGGTACAAAACTCAGCTGGTGGTAAGTAAGTAAGTGGTGGGCTTTGAATAATCAGTATAGCGCGCAGTCTAGCATGACGTAATAAATAAACAATCTTTGTAAATATAAACCAGGTCTCCTCACTTATTTGACAGCTCAGCATGACACGGCAGTGACCAGGAGCCTACCTTGGGTAAGCGAAACCACTATACTATGGATGTTCTTTTAACATCTTGCAGCTAACACACCACCACAACAATGTCACCCCAGGAAATAGTTTCAACGTTTCTGCTTTAATCTCCTGATGCTTTTGATAGCGTTGTTTAGGTAAACTAAGGCACTCATTTAACAAAGCACTGCAATATGAGCAATATGAAGTGAAGTGAAGTCACTTTCGAACTAATCAATTGTATATCTTAATTTCTTGATTATTTTTTTCTGCTACATTTTCTCTCAAAATTCGAACATTTTTGTAGAGTTAAGTTTTTATCATTTCCTATTTTTATCATTGCGTTTGTAGCTCTCAAATCATATCTTCCTTGTTAAACTTTTTAATTTACGGGTATTTTTTAAAAACACATATGCCAAAAAATTAATGAAATTTATAATTATTATTTATTATTTATTATTTAGTATTTAGTATTTATTATTATTATTTATTATTTAGTATTTATAACTTTTCCGTTTGTTGCAGCATTTGGAAATGTTTCTCCAATTCACTGTTTGAAACCGCTATTTTTATAGAAGAGTAGAAAAGAATAATATAGAGAAAATGAGTTCATTAAAATCTAGGAGAATGTTTTTTAAATAAAGCAAGATAATCATAAAATAATAAACATATTTATGAAATTACATAATGGTTTTAAGAGCTTTATAGTGCAAATTTACAATAAAGGCATATTAGTTGAAATTTACTGTAAAGTAAATTTGATAAAGACTTTATAAAAGCATTCAATTTTCTAAGGTAATATTGAATAATTACTTAAAAAAAAAGCAAGATTCTCTGATATAAAAACATACTGAGATTTTGTCAAACGAAATTTCAAGTTTACTTCCTCTTCGACACCATTAAAGATGACACCACCTGCACACAAGGGTCATTATTGCAAGAAGGAAGAAGTTTTTTGAAAGCGAGAAAGCTCTGAGCAAAAGAAACTTCGTAGGCCCAGCCGGAAAAGGCTCAATTTTGGCCTCTGAGTCTTCAGTTTTGACTCGAAAGAATAACAAAATTTTGGTTAAGAACTCAACATAGGAAATGGTTGTAGCTTAACACTCTAACCGGTAAGGCCGTATATATACGGCCTAGAATATTTTTTATGATATCTATAAGAACGTATATATACGGGAATATTAAAATATGGCAAAGAGACTAAGGCAATGTATTAAAAAGTATACAAATCCAGGTATAAAATACCAGGAGAATTTTTATATTAAAATCAAGAAAACAATTTTTTCTCATAGTAGTTTTGGGAAATTTGTGTTTTCTTAGCGAAAATCCTGGCCGGTCAGACGGTTAAAAAGGACTCCTGTTACCTAAACAAGGATAAAATATTTCAGAGATAACGCATATAGTTAAAATCTCTTGTGATAGAAATGGGAAGAATATTCATCATTAAAGATGAATAGGAAGATTATCGAGGTGGCTATACTTCATATTTAAATTCTTTCAAATTGGCATATTGTCGACAGCATTCCCATTTCATTATAATTTCCGATTTTATGAAGGCATAAAATAACCTTTAATTATATATTTTAGTTTAAAGAGCTTTTACTCACCTGAAATATGTAGCTGTATGGCATTGCAAGTTCTTCTTTCAGAATCACTTCAGAACCATACCAGATTTCGTTGGTGTCTCCAGATTCTTTCCACATATTATCTTTATTGTCGCCATTTCGTAAAAAGACTTCTAACGTACCAACATTTTCCCCGTATAGATAATACCAGAACTGCATGCACTTCTTTTGAGGTTGGTACAGTTCAGATTCGAGTCTGGCTACTTTTCCTTTAGAGGTAGGTACGCTGGTGTCTACATAAAAATAATTTCCAAACGAAGTACCATAGGTGTGATCGATGTTAGGACCATGTGTGCGAGATCCATTTCCTCTATGCCAATGAAAATCCCCTTCTGGATCTCGGGAGAATCCGCAGTAATCTTGCTCTACATCACAAAAGTCTCTTGGAGGGCACGATTTAAAGTTTACGGAAATATCGTCCAAAGAAATGTCTGTTCTCTGTAGTCCCACACCTTGTAATACCAGCCTATAATAATAATCCTTCACTATATGTATTTGTTCATATTTCCAAGTAGGTCCTTCAGACTGCTTCTTTGTCCAAATGGTCTCCTCCAAGTCTTCATCGTGGAAGTTCTGGACTTTGACGTGCAGTGTACCTGGTTTATTGCCATGCATATGGTACCAGAATTTAAAGCAAATACCATCCTCATCGGGATCAAATCCATCTTTGGTAAAGAGTCTAGCTGTGGCCGGGGAAAAATACTCTGAAGTATAAAAGCTAATGTAATGTCCACTAGTTGACAGTGTGGTATGATCTATCCTAGGCCGAGTAAGTTCAATGTTAGAGTGCCCCTTTGTAATTTGCCACTTTGCGAGTGAGTCGCCATCATTCTCCCAGAGGCACAGATCAGTTTCAAAGTCACAGTCGTATTTAGTTGGAGGATAACCTGTCGTAGTAGTTGTAGGTAGCGGTGTGGTGATTATTTGTTGCCCACATTTTTGTTGCCTCAGGGATACATCGTCAATAGCAATTCCCCGTGCAGTGATGTTGTCTTGATCAATTGCCGTGATTGCTGTTAGCCCAAGTTGAAAAAAGTCTCCAGCATCCTCTACAGTAATATTTGTTTCTGCTTGGATCCATTTATTCATGTCTATGTCAGAAGATTTTATTTCAATAATACCTTCCCAGCCCAATCCTATCAAAAACTGTTGAACTAATAAAGAGGAGTTTACAGTATTGAACATGCTGAACCAGAAGGAAAAACAATAGTTAGGATAGATTTCCAAATCTTCGCTAATGATCATGGATTGAGACTGAGCAGGCAATCCTGTCAAGTACGCGTACATGTAATGTCCATTAACAGTTCCTGTAGTATGATCTGCCGAAGGGCCGAAACCCATATTTTGATCCCCACCTGTTCGCCTTATCCAATCGACATCAAAATGACTATTGCTCCAACCGCAGGTGTCTATTTCGAAGGTACAAGATGCAGGATCAGAGCACACTCCATGCGTGAGATATATGTCATCAAGTGCAATGTATCCTAAAGGCCCTACTCCTGTCTCAGCTTCAAATGCAATATAAAATGCAGGAAGAGACTCCATAGTTGCGCGTCCAAGCTTCCACACGCCAGCATGATCCCCAGATCTTTTCCACAAGCTTTTTAAATTTTCCAGCCTAGTCTCTTGATTTGTCCTCTGATATACAGCTAAAGTACCAATGTCGTTACCATACATATTATACCAGAATTTTACACAAACATCACCATAGTTTCTGTATATTGGACTTTCCAGTCTAGCTATGTTCCCTCTTCTCTTATATGGAAGGTAGATGAAATATCCAAGTTCAGAATTAGTAGTATGATCAGTTCGAGGTTTTGCGTCACTCCAGTTACCGTTGCCCTGTGAACGTATCCATCCAATGCTGCCTTTGTATGTACTGTTCCAGCCACAAAAACTACTTTCGAAATCGCAAATAGCCGTTTGCGTACAAGCTCTGTCCACCATTTTCAAGTCATCGATAGCGATATTATTTTCTTGACCCCAAGAACTGTGTCCAGATATATATATTCCATAATCTCGATCGCTGCTAATGAACACCTCCCCATAAATCCATTTATTCCCTTGAGAATACTCTCTTCTCCATCTCCTCTTTACTACATGGTAATTTCCCCAAACCCAAAATGTGCTAATGCTTAGTTCGCCGGTATTCCGACCATACATATGATACCAGAACGAAAAGCAACTTCCTTGAGGAATATTCATAGGAAGGATTGGGCTTCTCAGACTTGCTTCTGAATAAGGGGTTACATCTCGAGGATCAATGTACATGTAATATCCATGACCAGTTGTGTGGTCAGATGTTGGACCTGTGAAATCGATTTCTGTTGATCCTTTACCACGTTTCCATTTAAAAGATTTCGTTGGGTCTTGAGTCCAAAAACACAATCCTCCATTGAAAGAATCATCATCGAAATTACAATCAACCAAGAGTTCTTTTGGGTTACAGTTCATGAATTTCACTTCCGCTATGGCAACGTTCTTATCCTGAGTGTACCAATACCAGTTGGGTACACTGTGAAATCTAACAATAGTTCCTTTTTCTTTTGCTTCAGGAATCCTAACTTCAACAAGTTGCCAGATCGCTTCTGTTTGATTAGGTAACGTCCACACCTTTTTATATGGATGGGAATTAGAAATGTGTAGCTTATGCTCGACATAAAACTGTCCTGCTGTTGAGGTCACGTATAGCCAGAAAGCCATAACGCAATGACTGGATGTTGGCGGCAGTGGAGGACTTTGCAAGATAGCCGGATCGCTGTAATATCCGAAACCTTGTTGAACATACGCATACCAACCAGTTGATGAATTTTTGTGATCAGTTGAAGGACCATAGTCGTTACTATTAGAGGCATTTTTTCTGCTCCAGGTAAATTTTCCTGGACTTTCATTTTTCCAGCCACAAAAGTCCTTATCAAACGTACAAGGGCCGCAACTTTCTTCATCGGATCCATCCGAACAGTCGAGAGTAAAATCACACTGCTTTTCTAACGGCACGCACAGCGGAAGACCAGACCTGCATTTGTATTGGTCCACACTGCAAACGGATACAGTTGGTAGAGGTGTCGACAGTGGTGTGGGAAGCTCATCGGTGTAATTTTTGCAGCCGTTACTGATAGATAAATCATCAATTGCAATTATAGACGTGGATGAATTTCCAAGGTTTCCTTCTATAATAAAATGAAAAGGTTCAGACTGCCTAATATTGACAATTGCTCTATTCCATTTCTGGCTATATGATCCAAATTCAGAAAATCGTAGTTGCCAGTTCCAGCCATCTTTTTCTATTTCGGTGTACACTTTCAGGCTTGCAAAATCTGTGTTATGCATATAATAGTAGAACCTCAGGGAGCAGTAAGATCCATTTATTATTTGGTAATTAGGACTGTAGTAGAAGGATTGGGTGTTGCCCTTTATAGAATCAAGTTTGAGTCTTAAATATCTACCACTTTGATCAATTCCCTTAGTGTGGTCTACCAGAGGCCCAGAAGAACCCAAGTTTCTTGAAGATGAAGAATCTTGGTAGGTCCACTTATTCCTAAAGGTAAAAAAGGATAACAATAATTTCTTAAAGAAACCTACGTTATCTAAAACATTTATCAATTACACATTTAGATGTCTTTTTCGTAGATTTTCTCTTGCGATGATAGTTAGAAAAATGCAAAATTGTACATCTAAAATGGTATAGACATTAAAATGATTGATTTATGAATATTAGTTTCAACTCCCTGCTATCTGATTTCTGTAATAAAATATCATAATTTATTAATATAAATGAAATCATATCAAGCAGATGGGTAGAGACCAAAGTAGAGTAATATTTAGATTAAAATCATGTTTAGCTAAATTGCTCATTGACAGCAATTTTTTACTTCCTTGTACGAAGCAAAGGAACTATTATAATCGCGAAAAATGTAAGGTATCATACTTTGACGATAATATCCATTTTAACTTGGATATTATCGTTAACTAGCTATACGATAATATCCGTAACGTATTAACTAGCTATATGTTACGAACAGGAAAAAGAACTTAATTCCCAAAACGATTGTAAAATAGATTTAAAACGAATTCAGAAGAGAATTTTTTGCGACATCTATAAGTACGTACCTATGTACGTATGCATGTATCTCGCATAATTTAAAAAGAATAGCCCCAGAATGTTGAAATTTTGTAAATGGGACTGCAATAACATGTAGTTGTTCAACTCCCTTTTTGGTTAAAATTGGAAACACCAAAATATATAAATATATATATATATATATATATATATACCTCGGCTCGGTGAGGTCAGTTTTTTTATTCTTATATGTTGGCAGATGGTGCATTTTTTTGTTTTATAAGTGATTGAATAATATTATTCTTATGTTCTGATTAAGGATTTAAAGTCTTTAGATAATCTGCGTGCAATAGTTGTAGAATTTTCAAAAATTATTTAAGTGCTACTAAGCCTAACGAAGGTGTCTTTTGTTTAAAATCGAAATTCTTAGTAGAATAGTGAATTAAATCACTTTCTGCATCAATTTCAGTGCCTTTTGCCCAGTGAAACCAAAAGAAAGCTTTCAGTTTTGTCCACAGAAAAATCTTCTTGCACGCCAGCCGAATTGCTTGTATTTATGCAGAAACTCTAATTTTAACTGTAAAAATTGTTCTTTATTTAACTGTATTTTATTTTTGTATATTTAACAATTTTTAATGAAGAAGTTTTGAGTTTTTATGTGTTTTTGCCTTGCTGGGAACTGAGAACTGAATTAATTGAATTAGAAATATACCTCTAATGAAATTCGAGGAAATAAGCAGGAATGAAATGCAGCAAAAAATCTGCGTAATTTAATAAGCCGTAGAAGGAAGATATGTGGTATCCACATCACATTTTTTCTTGCATCACATTTTTTTCTTGAAAGGAAATAAATTACATTTAATTAATATTTGGACTAAATTTTAAATTTCAGACACTGAGAAACTGCAGACAAATTGTTAGGTTTATTTATTTTTAACTAATAGTTAATGCTAAGCTTTAGTACATTTCTATCACTCTCTTTCACCCTCGCTTTTCACGCCAGAATGTAAATGAGTCAGCGAGCGTTTATTCAAATTAAGGGAGGAAAAAGTGCTATTTTTAAAAGAATTTCTTAAGTCAGTTTTAGAGCAAATCTTCCTATTCCAGGCCACATTGTCCCATGATTATTAGAGATTTGATTATGAAGCGTTGAGTGCTTCTAGCCATTTGGCTTTGTCTCGCCGGCATTTTACAAACCAGAGACTTTCCTGCACCCTAAATTATTCTGTGAGGCTTATTATTAATAATAACAATTTAGGGCGAACCCATCTGCCGTATTTGAATCCTAACCCGTTTGCTTTAATTAAAATTGTTCAACGTTACGTATTTCTGTTAAGCCAGAAGTTCTTGGCTTGTGTAAACTCAAGTTGCGTAATTGTTAATTTTGTGTTCGAATAAAAGGGTCTTATACACTCTTCTTCTGACTTTGGTTTGTTTCACAAGGCTATAAGATAATTCTTCAGTAGTCTCGTTATAGTGTATATAGTGTATGCTTCCTAAGAGAATAAGACTTGATAAAATAAAAAGCGTTTTTGTTAAGACATGATAACTATCTAAAAAATTACTACTTAACCACTAAACACATATACAATAAAGTCGTAGGTTTATTATTTACTTTCCGCTCATAATGCTAGGAGATAAAATTTATATTAATCTGATTTCTTTCGAAGGTTTAACGAAAGAATATTCAGAAATCTATATTATTTAAATAGCTTCAATTTAAGATTTTGGATAGAATCTTGTTGCATTTTCACTTATTTTATTGCACATTCTTGTATGCTATGGTCAAACTACATTTGGAGATGGTTAGAATATTAGATACTAGAGTTAGAAATGTTTCAGATTTGCAGAAATCTTCCTTTAAAAATGTCTCGCTGTGATTTAAAATGCCTTGCTGTGATTGTGTACACCTAGCTTTATGTACACGCTATCATACATGCTATTCGTATTGAAATTGTGATCACAACTCATTGCACATAGCATGATGTTTCCATTGCACAATAATAATAGTAAAAAAATCATAAAATACAAGTAGAAATTTTCTTTACTGGTTTTTGCTTTATAAAACACTTCAAAACAATTTTAGTATATTAATTAATCATAATATGTTTTCTAAAGCATTTATAATCAATATTAAAACATTACAATCAACATTAATAAGTTTAATTTGTCATTTTATTAATTTTTCAAAAAGCAAAATTTTAAATTTGGACAGAGCATTTTATTTTAAACCCCTCAGCAGCATATGTGGCTTCTTTTGTTTTTTAAGTCATTTAATGTCGTATATGAATTGTATTTTAAATTAATTTAGGAGTTTTTCAATTAACTTATAAGGTATTTCTCCCGCCATCTTAGCATGCCTTCCTAGTGTAGTGGTTAGCATGCTCGGCGCGTATTCGAGAGGCCCGTGGTTCGAGTCCCAGCGAAGGCTTCGTTCATTTTCATCTCCCTTGCTTCCGAAATAACCTAATGTCTCTACAAATTTTAAAAGGTTCATCTAAAATCGGCTAAAATTTCCATGAGTTTATACAAGTATATTAGAAAGAAATGTTTACAAACCATTTTTTTCCTCGGACGTTCCATTCACATCCAGTAAATTTCTCAAATGTACAAGGCTTTGGGTACTCGGAACACATCGTCACGTCTTCGTCTGATCTGTCTCCGCAGTCGTCTGTCAAATCACATAAGTAATAATTCGAAATGCAGCGATCATTTCTGCATCGGAATTCATTACTACTGCACTTTTCTCGTTTCACCGGCAGTCCACAGCTTTCGAATACTACGTCATCAATTGCTACATACGGTACATAGCCTTGGCTGTTATGCTCAAATTCTATATAAAAAGGACGTTCAGTTGTTCCCAAATAAACCCTTTCCTGTATCCAGGTTTCCTCGTTATCATATTTGTTATACCTCTTCTCCCACACTGTTGCCGTTGTTGAACTTCCCAGTCGTTTCTTGACTCTAAGCGATCCGGAAGCCATGTTATCATACAAATAGAAAATCATTATACATGAAACGTAAGATTTTTTGAACTCAGCCTTCGAGCTCTGAAGCACAGAGGTTTGCCAAGAATGGTACTGGCCACTTACTAACATAAAATAACCTGCAGTTGAATTAAAAGTATGGTCATAACCCGGTCCATTCTTCTTGGTACCCTCTACTCCTTGCGCTCTCTCCCATTTTTTAAAGTCTGTAGCAGTTCTGTCAGTCCATCCGCAATCACTGTGTTCGAAATCACAGTCTCCGCAATCGGCTTCGTCTTCCCCATTGATGCAGTCCAGCTCAAAATCACACACTTTGCTAGCATTCACGTGGGTTCCATCCCTACAATCGAAGGCATCGTCTGGAACTTCGTAGCACTTTTTGTTCGTCACTTCGATGTCGTCCAAAGCAATGTCACTCAAGGCTCCCTTTGTTTTGCCAATGAAATGAATTTGATACTCATCCTGAGTTTCCATTTGTTCTTTTGATATGTTAACGTTGATGAGGCGGTAAAACCACTTGTCACCCTGATTTCCTTTAATACTCCAAATCGTCTTGTTCATACTCTTTAACTGATTGTCATCATAGAAACTAATGTTGATCATTAGCGATCCCATTTCTCTTCCTCTCATATGGGCCCAAAAAGAAAGACAACGTTCACTTGAAACCCTGAAGAACTCCGAATTTAATATCCCGATAAGGTTCCTCTTTTTAGCAGGATTATCAGCTTGCAAATATATATATGAACCTAAAAATTCAGAATAGAGTCTGTTTCTATTATATATTTTATATATATATATATATATATATATATATATATAAAAGCTATTCATAAAAATTCAGATAAAAGATACACTCAGATTAATTGTGAAAACTTTATGCCAATAAGATTATGTTGTACTAGAAAGCCCAGCGGTCATACGAAATGACCGCTGTTCTAGATATTATAAATTGTAATTAAAATGATTCGTGTAAAGGTGTCTGCTAATTCAAACTGAATTACCCAGGGCAGGTGGCGAGGACGTCCCTTTGCTTACTGCCCCACGGGGTTTCCCCCTTCTACTTGCTTAATTGCTTAAAGTAGAGTGCAATGAAGGAAACCACTGGCGGTACATTTCTTGAGAGCCACCGCTAGCTCAATGAATAAAGGTGATTTAAATAATAAAATGTTAATTCACATGCCAAAGATCTCTTTGTACACAACATTTCTTGTGTAGATATTTCCATCATTTTTAAGCTCGCCTTGCAGAGGACCATCCTTTATTTTTAATTTTACGTTCGTTCTTTCACGAACTCTCGAACAAGCAATATAAAGTTGACCATGTCTAAATGCAGGCTCAGGTAAAAAAATGCCAATACGCTTAAGCGTTTGTCCCTGAGGCTTATTGATGGTCATAGGAAAGGCAAGTTTTACAGGAAATTATCTACGTCTCAATTGAAGCGGCAACCCTGTGCCGTGGCAACTTCACCTCATTGGCTAGTACCGTTACGCAAGCAACCAATACACTACCGGCGACAAACACTTAAGCCGCATATATATATATATGGGGTAAAGTAACATCATCTACTCCGAAACTGCTGGCTCCCGGGCTTAGCGAAGCATATCGTTGGATTCCGCAGGTCCGTGGCACGCCATTTTGACCATTCGCGTCTTCTGAGGAGTTTAATTAGCCGAGATATTAATTAAAAACAAAATTTTCCCTACGTTTTCCACTTTCTTTCTTGATTTTTTCCCTATTAGAGGGATTTGGCTACGTGCCAAATTCTTTTTTCCCGAATATCTACGGAACGGCGCCGAGATGAAATTCGAGACGCGTATCCCCGGATTCCAAAAAATTCTGCGAAACCATCGATACCGTTCTCATCTTCGTACGACTTTAATCGGCCGAGATATTACTTAAAAACTGCGAAAACGTTAAGTTGCGAGCTCATTTTTCGGAGTGGCAACAATAAACTATCGGCGACACACGCTTTAGCCACTTATATATATAAAGATAAGTAAACTCTGAAAAAAAATCTGAAAGCTTTCAGTTTTTATAGTACGCTCAAAGGGGCGTTTCTGTACCGTTTTATGTGTTACCTTTACTGGTTAAATATCATACTCTTCGCACTTCAACCACATAAAATTCAATTGCTTGTTTTTGCGTAGAAACTCTAATTTGAATTATAAAAATTGTTTAACTGTATTTGGTGCTCTATATTTTTCAGTTTTTAATAAAGATATTTTGAGGTCTTTATGTATTTTTGCCTTGTCGCGAAGTGAGAACTGAATTAATTGAATGAGATATATATCTCTAGTGAAATTTGAGGAAATACATTTAAATGAAATGCATGAAAAAATGCTCATAATTTAATATTCTGCACAAGGAAGTCATAGGGTGTACACACCATATTTTTTTAATTTAAAATCGTAAAAGAACTTTTGCGCCAACCTGTATTAATACCACAATGTCGCTAACAGCTGTACAAAACATATACAAATCGGGAAACAGGCTAGTGTTTATCAAATAATGCAAGATAAGTTAAAACTCTTACAAGTCAAGTCCGAATTATGAAGCAATAGAAAATTGTAAGCTCTAATTTTGAATGACATTTTCTAATACAAGTAAAAAATATTTAACACACTATTGGCTAAATGATACGCAGTAGTTATAAACCTTTTCTTACAAACTACAAATCGTAAACGTCTGCATTGTACAAGGGTATACCAAGTTACAAAGGCATTGAGCAATCAGAACAGTAGCAGTAAATAGGATGAAACATAATTTTATATTGTATTTTCTACTGCGAGAATAACTTGCTCTTAATATCAAACAACTATCCACAAAAGTTAATCTAATGCTTAGAGGGCCTACCAGCGACCGAGCGGTAACGTCGCTGAACACTGGTAGTTCGGTTCAAGTTTCGAATCTCGCGAACGGGCTGGCTGCATGGGTGTTTTCGTGGTTTTCCCCATGTGTAACGTGTATACGATCCAGTTTCCCTTAAAAAGTCCTCCACGAAGGCATCCCACCCCTTAGGCAGATAGCCTTCGAGTGCTTAGTCGTAATCTTATAAACCAAACCTAATCTAATGCTTGGCGAGTTATTACAAAGTCATACGAGTTAGTTACTTCGTACCGTCTACATAATAACACATGAAATTCAAATGTAAAATGTTGTTTGTCATTCCTAGCTGAAGTTACAAAACTAGAATGATAACAAAAAGAACTAATTATAAATTCGTTCACGATTTTGTCGTTTTGTTGAGAAAAACCACTGGCGGAACTTAGTAAGAATTGAGACGTTATCTAGTTTTCCGTTAACGATTTGTTGTTGTAATCATATCAGATTTTAACATACTGGCGACTATGTAGTGTAAGCTAATGAGAAATCTTACTGTAATGCTAGCTGGCCCACCAGCGGCCGGGCGGTAATGTCGTTGAACACTGGTAGTTTGGTTCGAGGTTCGAATGCCGCGAAAGGGCTGGCTGCATGGACGTTTTCGTGGTTTTCCCCATGTGTAACGTATATACTAGCCAGTTTCCTTTATAAAGTCCTCTAAGAAAGCATCCCTTCCTTAAGGCAGATAGCCCTCGAGTGCTTTGCCGTAATTTAATAAAACCAAAAAACCAAACCTAATGCTAGCTGAAGGTACACTGCGAAAATAAAAGGGGAGACAGTTCTATATCTCCCGTTCGAATGGGCCATTACGACATTCAAGTTGCGTTTTTAATGTCTTGAAAGTGCGACTTAGGTACGTATTAGATTTATTGTTAAATTAAAATTATTGTAGTGTTTAAATTAATTAATTTAATTAATTGTTATTTGATTAAATATATTGTTACGTTTTAATTAAACATGTTGTTAAATTACGCTGGGTGAAAGCACATAGTGGAATTGTCGAATGAAAGAGAGGACATCCTTGCTAAGATGGCGGCACTTGGGGATGGGACCGATAATTTTGATATCCAATATTCAAGGAAAAAGACCATTGCTGAACTAGAAAAATGGATTTATACAGAATGTAATTTTTGCTGAAAGTCGTCTAATAAGGAAAAAGAGTTAATGAAAAATATAAAGCTAAACAAGTTTGGGGAGTTATGCACTTCGTCGATGAATGTACGCTTACCCGGAATGCAAGAGAGAAATATAGAAAGAATTTTAAGGAAGATTTTAAAAGGAACTATTCAAATGTGAAAGATTTTGCAGAGAAAATAATGAAGATTATAAATACGAATAAAGACAGAGTCGGAATTCGGCACTGAGACTCAGATTTTGGACTATATATGTATTTTCTTATATTTGCAAAAGGAAATTATATTTCTTATTTCTGGCCAGTCCCATTTTTTTTATCATACGGCCGGCTTTTGCCGGCTAGGAGGATCGGGGCTGTACCCTTATAATAATAATAATAAATAATAATAATGTATTAGATTTATATATAGCATTTTTCTAATATGTGTATTTGACACAAAATCGGGCTTTTTCTGAAATGACATGCCAATTTTTTTCCATATTTCGTTTCTACGTTACAAATTACGCCAAACTACCAAGTTTTGTAAAAATCCCATGAGTAGTTTTTAAAAAATTAGCTTTTCAATGTTAATTGAGTTTGGTATATATATATATATATAAATATATATTAATATCTCTTTTTTGTTAAATGTATTTGATTCTTCCCTTCGCATTTCGAAATTTAATTTCATTCAAAATAACTTTTGTCCAATTTTTATGATTTGTTTTTAAAATTTGTATTTTTAAATAATTTTTATAAATTTTTCGAAAACAATTTTGAATTATAACCTATAAAATTTTTACCATCCTCTTAAAATAGATGTATTTCTAAGCATACCTGCAAAAAATTAGTTTTTGATTCAAAATTTCCGAAGATATACGTGAATTTATATATTTGCGCATTTTTAAGTGTGGCATATTTGTTGAAAGCGATAATAACATCAAATGTGGTTTAGGTGCTATCTTAAAACTATTTTGAATGCAGGAATGATGTAACTATTTTTCCGCTCATCCACAATGTAAAAAGGTAGGAACGATAGGACCTTTTTCCGCTCTTGCATAAAGGAAGGGAAAGGAAAATAGGTTGCAATATGTTAAGAAGTTCGCCAAGTGAATTATTCTTGGCATCAACTGAAAATAATACGCTAAGATAAATTTTTGAATTTCTCCGTAAATATCGCACCAAACTTTACAAAATTTAATATTTAGGAATAATTTGAGTCGCAGAATCGAAATATCGGAAAAAATTGGCATCATTTTAGAAAAAGTCCGATTTTGTGTCAAAATACATATTGTTACGAATTTGGTATTTAAATAGCTAATGTTAGTTGAATTGTGAATTAGATGGTTTTATTTCCCGCGCAGTGCAGCGCGTGACGAATATTAAAAGAAAGCTAAGCCGGAAAATTGAAAATACAAGAGCGCGTGCATGTAACATTTAATAAATATCTCTTTTTGATTTCGAGAAAGTATTAAAAAATTCTCGCGCGCGATTTTAAAATCTTATAAAAAGGAGGAGAACCTCTCAATTCAGTTAGTCAGTGATTTTAATTAGCTGGTTGTTGATTTTTTAGTGATTTTAGTTAGCTTGTTGTTGATAACCATCTAACTTTGAGTTTGTTTAGAAAACTGCTCTCGTTGATTGTAGGGAATTCGAGGATTAGCTTTCTTTTAGCTATTTTGAATTAACTTTTGTTGAACTTTTGAGTAGGTGAAAGATAACTACTGTGAGATATTATAATACTGAAAGAATATCTGTGGGAATTTAAGCATTTTTATTGTGATAATAATAAAATTTTGTCCATTTTTTTATCGGACTTGTGCATTCAATTCAAACGAACCCGTACGCTCGCAACAATTTTTGGTGTCAGAAGTGGGATTTGAATGTCAATAACAAGAGCGATGGAAGAACAATTGAGGCAGCTCATCAGTGCTTTTGCTGCGTTCCAAGAAAAGATGGAAGCTAGCCAAGCAACCTTTAAAGATGAGATTAAAGCGGGACAGGAAGCCGTTAAAGAGAAAATGGATGCTGGTCAAAAAATCCGTTAAGGAAGAGATGAAATCCATTAAAAACGAGATGAAATCCGTTAAAGACGAGATGAAAACCGTTAAAGACGAGATGAAAGCAGGTCAGGACGAAATGAAAAGAGAAATTACCTGCGTAATAGAAAACAAATTTGAGGCTATGGAAAGCAGAATAGACTCGGTCGAAAGTAAGGTTGGAGAAAATGAAGAAAGAGTTTCTTCCGTCAAAGACCAAGTACAAGCGAGAGTTTCTGTTGTGGAGGAACGAACTAAAGGAAAAGTGTGTGCCGTTCAACACCAAATTGAACAACAAATTGATGACAGGGTTTCTGCAGTGCAAAGAAGTGGATATTTTAAGGAAATTCCTAGCGACAGCAGGGAGCAATTCGAATGGTTTTAAACGTTTACCCATGCCTGCTCGTCCCTCACTGAAGATATCCACTTATGATGGGAAGACCTTCTGGCAAGTGTATAAGACCCAATTTTCTATAGTTGAGGATGCGAATGGATGGGATTCCCAAGCTAAGGCCTGTCATCTCGCCGCTTCTCTGAGAGGAGACGTAGCGGATATCCTGAAGACGCTTCCCGAAAATCAGAGACTAGATTTTGAAGCTCTATCCGGCGCTTTGGGGAAAAGTTTTTTAAAAGACTAGCAGGCTAGACTATAGCAGGCTTCAGTTAAAATTCCGCCAACAGAAAAACACGGAAACACTCCAGGAACTCGCCACAGATGTTGAAAGGCTGTCCCATCTCGCCTTTTCGGAGCGCCCGACAGAAACAAGGGAAATCGCCTGCAATATTTCATCGACGCATCCTGAAATACCGAAAGCTCTACGAATGGAGGATGTTAAAGATCTTAAAAGCGCTCTAGTGTACGCCATGAAATTCGAGGCAGCCCAACAAGCCACTCGTCGAGATCGTTACCCAGTCAGAGCTGTGCGAGTCCACGACCCAGAGGATCAGTTGATGGCTCGTTTAGATGATTTATCCAGACAAGTCGACGCTTTGATACGGAGTAGCAGTGAGAACAAAGTGGCTCTAAGGTGTTGGAGATGTGGTTCTGAAGGTCACCTACGATGGAATTGCAGAACACCTCGAGGTACGGAAAATAAAACAGATGATTTTACCAGACAAGTCAGTGGCTTGAGACGGAACAGAAGTGAAAAGAAACCAATTCTAAAGTGCTGGAACTGCGGTGTTGAAGGCCACGTGCGAAGGAACTGCAGAACACTCCAACGAGCACGGAAAATAACGATAAAACGAGTTGAAACAGACAATTAAATGCCATCGGACGAAAAAGGATGTGACAAGAAACAAAAGTGCTGGAACTGTGGAAGCTGAAGGCCACGTGCGAAGGAACTGCAGAACACCCCGGAGCACGGAAATTGAGACCATTTCCCAGCAACGACAACCGAGAAAGGGAAACAAATAAATAAACATATCGAGGAACGGAGGTTGCCAGAGAATGAAAAACCTTGTTTCAAAGCACTCATTTCTACAGTGAGTGGCAATAGTAACGGACTGTCCATCAATGGGCACATCAGTGGAGTTCCTTGCAATATGATGATAGATACAGGAGCCAACGTTACTACCATCCGAATGGATTTGGCTCAACAACTGGGATGCAAACTTATCTGGACGCCATCCTGTGTTACCCTTCAGACTGTGCGTGTGGTAATAAGATCGACATATTTGGGAAATTAAACCTGAGCATCACGTTTGGAAGTGCCGCTTATCATCACGCGGTATATGTGGCGGATATTACAGATCCGTGCATACTCGGATTGGACTTTTCAAGAAAATACAAGTTTTTCCTTAGACTTCAAAAAAACAACAAACTGCTTTCAGCATCTGATGACATGACTATCCATCCTCAGAAGGGATCCTCACCTGGAAACGCCGACGCCTTGTCTGAAAGACCCAGCTCAGAAAGTTGCCGAAATCATACTGTCGCCCTACGGATGCGCCTTCACCGCTGGAGAATACGTCCAAGATGTCCAGGCCCGGTTTGAAGAGATGCAGCGTTCCGCACGAAAGCGCGAGTCAACTTGGCGACGGAGAAAGTGAAGACCAGATACGACACGAGAGCTACTGGACATAGATTCCACGAAGGAGACAAGGTGTGGTTGTGGAATCCGACTCGACGAAAGGGACTTCTGTCCGAAATTACAGTCACCTTGGGATGGTCCGTACACAGTCCTAAACAGGCTGAATGACGTCGTGGTTCGGATTCGTAAGTCTTCGAACTCTAAAACCCTAAAGTCGTTCATTACGACAGGTTAGCTCATTACTATGGCCATAGTATACGTAGTGTAAATAATTGTAAATAGTATAAGACCATGGTCCTTTTTGTTTCTAAATGTGTATTTGATTTGATTTGTATTGTGTTTTGGATAGCATTTAATTTGCTTTATTTATTGCATTTATTGTTCATGTTGTTTGTTATTGTAATGTAATGCTTATTATTGCATTATGCCTTAGTTGTAAGTTTGGCTTCCTGTCCAGGGATTGTACTGCCCGGGACGTGCAGTCCTTGGGGCAGTTTATAAATTTGGTATTTTAAAAAGCTAATGTTAGTTGAATTGTAATTATTAATGGTTTTATTTCCCGCGCAGTGCAGCGCGTGACGAATATTAAAAGAAAGCTAAGCCGGAAAATTGAAAATACAAGAGCGCATGCAAGTAACATTTAATAAATATCTCTTTTCGATTTCGAGAAAGTACTAGAAAATTCTCGCGCGCGATTTAAAAATCTTATAAAAATGAGGAAAACCTCTCAATTCAGTTAATCAGTGATTTTAGTTAGCTTGTTGTTGATTTAAGAGTTTGTTTAGAAAACTACTCTGTTGATTGTAGCGAATTCGCGGATTAGCTTTCTTTAGCTGTTTTGAATTACGTTTTCTTGGAACATTTGAGTAGTTAAAAGATAACTACTGTGAGATATTGTAATACTGAAAGAAATTTGTGGAAAATTTAAACATTTTTGTTGTCATAATAATAAAATTTTTGTTCATTTTTCATCGGACTTGTGCATTCAATTCATAACAAAACCCGTACGCACGCAACATGCCTCAATGGCCTGGCTTTTAAATTTAAATAATCCAGGTGAAATAGCCAGGTGGATACAGAGACTCCAAGAATATGAAATCACTATCGGTCATCGAAAGTGATCATCACACGGGAACGCCGACGCCCTGTCTAGAAGACCTTGCCCAGAAAGCTGCCGATATTGTTCCAGGGTGGAAGCGAAATACTAGCTGCTGATATATATCCTAAGTCGCCCTTTCGAGATAGGAAAAACGAAATTTGAATTTCTTCCATCGGCAAAGTAGAACGGGAGATATAGAACTGTCTTTTTTTTTTTTTTTCCCCCGCTGTGTACCTTCATTTTTCGCTTGTTAAGAATTAGCTCGGATTAAAAACTATGAATAATGTAAATAACTGGTAATAATTATCTGAATGTCAAAATAGGGTGTGTTCTCGCATTCTTATGGTCGATGTCTTACCTAGTTCTGTTCCAAGCGTATGGTCAACATCTGGGCCTGTATTTGCTGTTGGAGTTGAACCGGTGTTTCTCACCCATTCCAAGTCCACATCAGAATTTGCATTCTGCCATGTACAAAGGTCAGTTTCGAAATCGCAAGAACCAGGTGGTGGACAGCTTCCCTCTTTCACAACGATATCATCCACTGCAATATAGCCCTCATTTCCTTTGGCCATAACAGCTTCGAAGACAATCTGAAATGGGTTATATTATCATTATTAGGTCTTCCAGATGTTGAAACACTGTATATCTGATTATTGCGTCTAAGGCACTAATTCGTACTTATAAAAACAGTATATTTTCTCAGTACTGCTAATAATTAGTACCACTATCACAACATGCAGTTAATTAAACATCTAACTTATCAATTAACATAATGATCCTTTTTGCTGATAAAAACCTATATTTTTGTGCAAGTACAACAAGCATAATTTTATTCAAATTTGCTTAAAATTCGGTAAGTTCCTCATATAAATTGTCTATACAATGCATAGTTTTCATAAGAAGTTTTCCAAGAAAGTAATATAAATATCATACAATACGAATATAATATGTTACATAATTCATATGTTCGAAAGTGTAAGTATATAATAAAATTTTTAAGATATGTTTTTTCGTCCTTAATATTATGAATAACGTATCCGTATATAGTAAATTATTTTTATTTTTAAATCAATTATATTATGATTATTTAAAGGAACCATGATTTACATTTAAATCATTTTTATGCCTCTATATTTTTTGAATGTTACAAAAATTGTTTATTCAGAAAATAGATTGGTGTATAATTTTGTTGTGCAGATTTACCTTAGACCACTTTTTTCTGTTATAAATAATTTACAAGAAAATTTAAGTCATCAGTCACTAATAAGTATAATTTTTACAGATATATCTTACAAAAAATACAATCTGTCAAAAACAAAAGTGGGGAAGGGAGACAGTTCTATATCTCCCATTTTGTTAGGCTGATCGACTAAAACTAATTTGCGTTTTTTTATGTCTTTTGATTTAGGATATATATTACATTTATATATAGCATTGTTCTAACATAGGTATTTCGACACAAAATCGGACTTTTACGGAAATGATATACCAATTTGTTTTCATACTTCGATCGCTCATCTCAAATCATACCTAATTATTATTATTTTTTTAAATTTGGTGAGAAATGTACAGACAAATTTAAAAAAAGAAAGTCTTGGCGCTCTTAAATGAGAAAATTCTTGGCGCTCTTTTGTCCGTTTGTGCCAAGAATAATTCACTTCTCGAAAATTCTTAATTTATGGTCAGCTATTTTTCTTTCCGTTCACTGTATGCGAACAGAAGAAAAGTGCATGGTTCATTATTTGAAATGATTTAACAAAGAACGTAAACCCTATTCGGCGTTATTATCTCTTATAACAAACATGCCAAATTTCAAAATGCACTAATATATTAATTCTCGTATATCTTGGGAAAGTTTGAATAAAGAATTCTAATGTTTTGAAGCTATGCCTAGAAATATATCTATTTCAAGGTGATGGTAAAAGTTTTGCAGGTTGGAATTAAAAATATATTTTCGAAAAATTTATAAAAAATTACTCAAAAATACAAATTTAGAAAATAAATCAGAAATATCAGCAAGTTTTGTTTGGATTGAACTGATATTTCGAATTGTGAAAGGAGAAATCAAGTAAGCTTAATAATAGGAGGAAAGAGCTATTAATAAACACATAACAAATTCAATTAATATTGAGGAACTAATAATTTGAGAGTTAATTCTGTAAAAAATATTCGTTCGATTTTTACAAAACACATAGCTTTGACATAATCTGAGTCAGAGACATGAAATATGAAAAAAATATGTATGTCATTTCAAAACAAGTTTGGTTTTGTGTCAGAATGCCTATGTGAGAGAAATTCTGTGTATAAATCTAATTCTGTGTATAAGGTAATTCTGTGTATATATCTAGGATATGTATCCTAAGTCGCACTTTCGAGATAGGAGGACCGAAATTTTAATTTCGTCAATTGGCCTAATAGAACATAAGATATAAAACTGTCCTCCTCTGAGCGAAGAGAGGAAAGCGGGGTATTTTTACTATTATGTTTCATATTTGTTAATGAACTAATAAATGTTTGCTGAAAAAATAAGAAGGAAACTTAAGCATTTAAAAAGTCGAAAATGAATACAAAATTAATGCAACTTATAGCACGTAAAGAAGAAGATAGATAGAATTTTAAATTATTTTATCTATTTTATAGAATTTTTAAATTTACATAGTTAATTAACAAAGATTATTAAAAATTAATCTTTTATATTATAAAGTTTTACTCATAATTTTCATGAAAAAACAGCCGAAAAATGTTTAGGAAAAGGAAACGACCAAAAACTGCATGACGTTAATATGCATAAAAATTTGCTATTGCTCAGTTATTATCTCTATAAAAAATTAATTAATTATTAAATTCCTCTATAAAAATTCTTAGTTATTATCAAAAATACTTTCTTTCCCGTTTGTTAATCTGATATTATTTTGGTTGAAAATTATATCTTGTATTAATTCTCTTTATTCTTAAATTGTCGTTTAACATTTCTTGCACCTCCAAATCTTTTATGCGAATATATAACTTTTAAAACCTGAGAAAACGTATGTGTGCGATGTTATCATCATGCGATGATTTGCAGGTGCTTTATTTTTTATCACGATATTTTCAACGACAATGTTTTAGAACTGCGATGTTTTCTCTTCGCTTTCTTTTCTCCCACGATGTTTTCACTTTGCGTTGTTTTTGCCGCGATGTTTTCGGCTGTAACCCATCCTACGCTAATTAAGTGCGAAAAAGAGCAAATTCCACAAAATTACTGTAGGAAGATGCAGCCACATGTGCAATTTCATATCTCTTGATGAAGATTTAATTAGATTTTTTTTTAATTTGGAAAGGATAACACATACCTCATGCACATATGGGGCATCTATCGTCCTTTGACCCACTCTCCAACTGTCATTGCCATGTTTGGTAGCATGAGACCAAAGTGAAAATTGTGGCAAAGCTCCTCCAGGCGTCCGCTGGTAGAGGTTGAGAGCGGTGACGCTCATACCAGTCATTTGGTACCAAAACCGAACACAACTTCGTATCACTCCTGTACTCGGGACTTTGGGCATGGTAAACCGAGCTTTGTTGCCTCGATGAAGACGTGCACTGGATGATGGTAACACAATGAAGTAATGACCTGCGATGAAATACTTGTAAGATGATTAATTTAAGTAATAATATAAAATGACACTTTTATAACATATTCGAAGATAAATAAAGTACCTGAAAACATGATATAGCAGCAGGTAGTGTTTTTAATCTCTGAGAAAATGGTTTCTAACGAACTATGCCCCTATAACATTATCCAATTACATTTGCGAGTCTTATGTGTTTTGTGGCAGTGTAGTTGTCTTAAATAAGAGACGTGAAAAGGATTTATTATTATTTTCTGCTCAGAGGACGTACTGCTGGTATCAGAAGATTGCATCTATCAGTCCGGTCATTTTATGCTCGACATGATCAATGGACCAATTTCTTGACCAAGTCTTGACCAATGGGCCAATTTTCTCTGACAGCAA